TAGTCAGCATGTGATATTTTTCCTTGTGTGGGAAGGATGGAAACATTTTACTGAACTTACTATTTAGATGCCCTGTGGCATGCCTGCACATGCTGAAATGGAACAGCTGGCAACCTGATGCCTTTAAAGGTCCACAGTAAAAAAAAAAAAGAATAAATATTCATATTTATTCAAATAAAAACCCCACCGAACGGGTTACCATTATAACCTGGTCAGAACCAGTACCATACGATCAGAGCACCTCACTATTTAAAGCCAAATATGCTGAGGACTGCTCTCCACCTGGGATGGAAAGCCACATTATTTTTTTTTGTTTGCTGCTGTGCAAAAGAGCTCCAGCAGAGCCCGGGGGGGCCGGGGTTCAGCCATGCGGCAGCGTAACCCGCCCCGTTTCAGCAGGAAGGTAGAAGGCTCACCTCAGGGCGGGCGGCCTCTCCTCAGCGGGCGGCGGCTTCGCGCCCCTTCCTCTCAGCGCCGCCTGGCCCCCGGGCAGCCCACCCGCGGGACGCCCCTCACACGGGCCTGAGGGACGGCACCGGCCCCTCCCGCCCCCTCCTTCTCCCTCGCCGATGGACGGCGGGGGGCGCTCGGGCGCCGCCATGCGAGGGCAGCAGCGCCGCGCTTCCCGGGCCGGCGCGGAACGGCGGACAAGATGGCGGCTCCCATGGAGCTGAGCTGCTGGGGAGGCGATTGGGGGCTGCCCTCCCTGCACCCGGAGTCTCTAACCGTCATGGTAATGGCCGGCGGCTGCCACCCGCCCCGGGAAACAGGGAGGGAGGGAGAGAGAGAGAGGGAGGAAGAGCTCCCCGGGGTTTGCTTTACTCTTGCCCGCGGGAGAGGCGGTGCCGCTGAGGGGCGCCCCCGCCCTTGTCGCCCTGAGGCGTCGGGCCGGTACCGGGCGAGGGGCCCGCCGCCGCCGCCGCGCTGGGTCGGGGGTGGGAGACGGCGGCGGCCGGGCCCGCGGAGGGGCCCCGGGTGCGGCCCCCGGCTTTTTCCTCACGCCTGGCCGCGGTACCGGTCTCCCTCCCTCGTCCAGGGAGGGAGGGAGAGAGAGAGAGGGAGGAAGAGCTCCCCGGGGTTTGCTTTACTCTTGCCCGCGGGAGAGGCGGTGCCGCTGAGGGGCGCCCCCGCCCTTGTCGCCCTGAGGCGTCGGGCCGGTACCGGGCGAGGGGCCCGCCGCCGCCGCCGCGCTGGGTCGGGGGTGGGAGACGGCGGCGGCCGGGCCCGCGGAGGGGCCCCGGGTGCGGCCCCCGGCTTTTTCCTCACGCCTGGCCGCGGTACCGGTCTCCCTCCCTCGTCCCCGGAGCCGCGGGCATGGCGGCTGCCCTTGCTGAGGGCGTCGAGCCTTCTCGGGGCTGCCGGGCCTCGGCCTTCGGCGGGCGGTTTGTCCTAGAAACGCATCAGGGCACCGAAGACCGACTAAAAGCAAATGCGCCTGCCGGCGCATTTGCTTTTAGTCGGTCTTCGGTGCCCGAAGCTGTATAAAACAAGTTTTTAAACTGCTGTCTTAGGCTTTTCTTGCACACGGTGACCGCGTTTCTTTCCCCACAATCTCCATTGCAGGCTTATGCCAAATTTTCTGGTGCTCCCCTGACAGTGAATACTATAAGTAACTCTTGGAGAGCTCCGAAAGGTACCCTCTTCGCATTTCCTTTCTCAGTCTTGTAATCATACCGGGGTCCAGTTTTTGCTTTTGCACAGGTTTTGTGTTCATAAGTGTAACCCACCCCGGTGAAAGTTGTCTGCTTTCACGGTATGTCAATAAATGACCTCACAGGACCGAGGGTGATGAATTTGTGGGGACAAAATAACGTAACGTAACGTAAATAAAGTGCCTCCAAGAACTTAAAATGTTCTTTGGGTGAAGCAGCAGTCAGTCAACAAAGCTGTGGTGCCAGGTGTTTCTGTCAGGCAGTCTAAACTGAGGGTGTAGTGAAAGCAAATTTTTTAAGCTTTTTGCACTTTGCATACATATAATGGTGGTAACTAGAGTCGTGTATGGAAATGGTGTTCTTTAGTTCTGTGTGGTTTAGTGGGCTGGTACAGTTCGGAGTGTGAGCCTCGGAGAGTGTAACTTGGACCAGCTGTAATGTTTAGTACTGGGCTGAGTTAAAGAGGTTGACTAACAACCAGTTGCCAGAGAAGCTGAGGGTAAGGTATCAGAGAGGACTTTTTGATGTTGAATGCTTCTAATCATTGCTTATTGGCTTGCTCAGTGTTTAAGGTATTGTCTTGGTGTACTCCAGAGAGGTAGAATCACTGCAGCGTTAAAATACTCTGTCATTTACACTTACCACATCATCAGTTTAGGCATTACTGCATCCATGCAAGAAGTTGTGCCTTTGATTCTTGCTTTTCAGTGTATTGTTTTCTGTTAGTAGAAAATACCAAGAACTAGCTGGGTGTACTTGCCAAAAGTTCAGTGGTTTTCTTCATAGCCAAAATACATAAAATCCATTAAAAAAGAATCCAAGTAGTAAGTGTTGCTGATAGTTGATACTTTAATAGTATTAAGCAGGGAGTCATGTCAGACTCATTGTGGCAATTATGTTGCAAATAGGCTATAAGATAGCCCTCTACATAGATTTTAGTGTTTGATCTAACAATCTGATGGATAAAGGCTGATCAGTAAGCTTGTGGAAGGAGGGAACCACGCTGTTCTGCAATAGTTCATGGTTATGCAGTGGTGGCTTGGGCAGTAGTTGTAGCGAGGCTGGAGAAAACAGGTGGTTAAAATGGATTTGGAGGGGAAGGGCAGGGGAAAAACTGGAATAGAAGGAAGAAAAGACCCAGAGATGAATGAGTTGAGAGGGCAGTTGGACTGGGTTGATATTTTTGTCTTAAGATGAATGTCTGAAATCCAGATGAGTGGCCTGGTTCTCAAAGTACCATAAATCTAGCAGAAGATATTGGCTTCAGTCTAGTTTGATGTGGGCCCTTTTTTATTTATTGTTGTTAGTGAATACATTAAATGTATTTGTGACCTTGGTGGAACTCCTCTACTATGTAAAGCATCCTTTATGCATACATATTTGGAAGATCAGAGCATGCTATGGAGAAAAGTAGATGAAGTGACTGATTGCTTTCCAACGGCGTTAGAACTCATCCATATACATTCTTGACTATATTATTTATGCCTTCTAGGAGATGTACCGGTCCTGATATCAGAAGATATTGTTATTTCTCAGCCAGCAAAAATATTGAACTTCTTAAGAAAGCAGGTAGGTCTCTTTCAAAAGATTTGTTTTCCCTGCCTTGTAGTGATTCTACACATCCCCTATATACATTGATAGAGGCTTCTGAAAACCTGGAACTGAGTTTAGACCCAGAGCTTTCCTGTTTTTTCATACATGCATGAGACTTGCAAAATGCTGGATAGCAGATTTCTGTTTGAAAGGTTGTTAGTTATGTGAAAGATTTAAAAATAGCCAGGAGAAAACTGTTCGTTGAAAAGGACAACAAACTGGCCTTAATTGAGCAGTTTCTCACTGAGTGCCCTGCTCTTAATCATAACACTTTTATCGTTATTATGGCTTTGCAGACTTCAGATATCATGGTTTGGGACATGTGATTTTAACTGCTTAAGCACGTAATTGTCTCTGAGTGCTCTTTTTTTTTTTAATACATACAGCATTTTTTTTTAATCTATGTAGTTTTTCTATAGCTTGTAGCGTAAAAATGTCTGCAAGCATTTATTGATGCACAGGATGTTATTGTGTAGCCAACTCTTGCTTGCCTTTTGCGCATTTCATAGCATTTTATTCACAAAGAATAAAGTATGATTTCTTCTTTTCACAAAGTACAAAGATGTCTAATAAAGCATGGCAACGTCTCTTTATTTCTAAGATGGCCCTCCAGCCCACTATTTTGCCTTTACATAGCAATTCAGTTCCTGCCTAGTCAAGCAGGTTATCAGATGAATGCCATGTTAGTGAAACTTTAAATCTTTGGGGAGAGAAAAACAAAATCTGAAAACTCTGCATTTGAGCTGAGATTTTAGAGAGTTCTTTTAAAATTCAGAAGTTTCATAGCCATTTGAATACCAAAGATCCCTTAATATTGTAAGAGAAAACCCTCTTTGAGTTAAAGTATAACAATAATATGCTTTCTTCGCAGATATCTAAGGGTCAGCATTGATTTTTTTGTTTCTGAATTCATAGAGCAAATCTCCTCTCCCACCGAAAAAACAAACCACCTATCAGCCTTTTTAATGTACCTTAGAAGGGTCCAGTGTCAGAATTAAAAGCTCGGTCAGCTGTAAGTGCATTAATTTAGCTGTGCATTTGGTCCCTTATATTGGTAGCATACCATTTCTGAACTTTTAGAATGTTAATTAAAAGCAAAAGATGGAAATGCTTGCCTTTTCTTTTATGCTTATGCCAGGTTAAGTGCCAGATGGAGGCTTGCTAGAGATTTGGTACATCCCTAAGTACTGAAAAATTGCCTCTGTATCACTGGGCAGTTGCTTGGAAAGCAATGAGAAGGAGATACAAGAGTTATTTTGGGCATAGAGGGAGCCCAGAAATCTGAGAATGCATTTCCCTTTTCCACTTTCCCAAAGAGGTTTGACATAGCTGGCTTGAAGAAGTAGATTCTAGTGAGTGCATGCTTTCTGTCCCAAAAAATGCTGTTACATTTACTAGCTTGGTAGCTGTTAAGTTTGAAGCAATTTGATCATCTTTTTGGGAAGTTCTGTGTAATACTATTTGTAGTATGTTTGTTTGTTTTAAATTTACAGAAATATAATGCTGATTATGAATTGTCTGCAAAACAAGGAGCTGATACACTGGCATATATTGCACTGCTTGAAGAGAAGCTGCTTCCTGCTCTGGTAAGTATTGAGAAATACCTTATAATAGTCAGAATTTTTGAAAGTGAGTGCTGCAGGAAGTGCCCAATGGGAGAGACTTTAAAGTGTCTCAGCCATAGACCTGGCTTGAACGTATTTGCTTTTTTAGTCCAATTTTGGAAATACTGCCTAGGAACTTTCGAAAATGAAAAAAGTGTGTGTTTGTGGGGTGTGAAGTAATAATAATAATTTATGAAAGACATTTTAAAAAGGCACCTACGGATGGTTTTTTTTTCTTTTAGATGCTTTTTGGGAAACAGTATCCTGAATGCCGCTTATTGCAGCTGTTTTTTGTTTCATTTGATTATTTTGAAAAAGCTTTGAATAAGATGTGGCATGTCTGATACGTGGTGCACAACTGTGGAAGCCTTTTGAACTGTTCAGTTAGAATTTTTGAGAAATTAAAATACCCATCAGTGGTTTCATTTTTCATTTCTAAATAACATGTAGCCACATGCCCTCACCAATTTAGTGTATTACACATTACAGCTATAAGAATCCCCAGACACTGGATCTCTTGAATGACTTTCACTTCAGTTTGTACAGGAAAAAATATTCTGATCAGATGATACTATAGGCTAGCCTCTTTACCTGGCCCACAGGGTTTCGCATTCATCATTTCATAATATATTTTAGTTTAAGATTTATACAAAATTAAAAAAAAAAATGTAGAAAGTTCATACCTGATCCTGTGTGTCTGCAACTTTGTGTTTTCTATGTAAGTGTGTGTGTATACATACATAAACATGAGTGTATATGTAATTTTATGCGTGTGTATATAGGTCTGTGTATTATCTTTGTGTTTTTTTTTTTTTTAGGTGGAAGGTAGCTATTGCCTTAATTATATACTCCTACACTCAAAGGATTAGTATAATCCTTTCTGGAGCCTCATTGCCTTAAATTATAGTAATTCCCAGTGATTGTGCTTCTCTGACAGAGATCTTACACATAAAAGTTTTAAGAGATGTCTACTATTTTTGATCAAATTCTAGTCATATTTTTCCTTGTGTTGGTACAGCTGCACACTTTCTGGGTTGAGGCTGAAAATTACTGCAGTGTGACAAAGCCGTGGTTTGCCTCAAGGATTGCCTTCCCACTGAGGTTTTATCTGCCTGGAAAGATGTCCAGGGAAGCACTGAACAGGATCTTGCTGACCAAGGGAGGGCCTCCACTCTACAGTCTGACTGAAGTGGAAGCACAGGTGTGTGTTGAGTAGTAAAGAATTTCTAAGTTGTTGCTGTCAAATACAAGAAGTGAAACAGAGCCTAGCACAGCGTCAAATGATGAATGATGCTGTGCATGCTAGCCTTGCTACACCTAGGGCTCTTAGACAGTCTTGTGTCTCATCAGATATACAGGGATGCCAAGGAGTGCCTAAATCTCCTGTCGAAGAGATTGGGGACTTCCCAGTTTTTCTTTGGACATACGTAAGTGTAATTTTTTTTTTTTTTTAAATGACTAATGAAACAGGTGCCACATGACTCTGTGAACACAAACTTTTTAACCTTTTTCTTTTTTTTTTTAACCTGCCAGAATGTTAAAAGTGCTGCATGGTATTTTCATGTCTCTCACTCTGCTTTTCAGATGAATCTGAATGAGCAAACAGGGCACAACAAGATCTTTAAACTAAGGCAATGTGGTGTCCCCCTTATCACATATTTTTCCACAGAGAGATAGATGCTGCCCACAGCTTCTAAGAAAATGTGGGGTGCTTCATGAGTTAGTGTAGCATTAAAGAATGCTCTTCTAGCCACTGAATGTCACCTCATGTGGTTGTATGTAGAAAAGGTGCTTTTATCCTGAGGTGCTAACCACTGCCTGCACGGAAGGAGGGTATAGCTCCAGGAACACTACTCTTCCTGTGGTATGTGTGCAGAGCAGGAAGCAGGTCTTGCCCACTACGTAGTGCCAACAGATCCTAAAAAGGATGATCTGTTCCTTCAGCCACTGAAGTTGGACCACTGCATGAGAGAGGATCCTAGTCCCCTGGCATACAGCTTGGCTTTTGTGGTGCCAGAAATATGTTTTATGGTGGCTTGCTTATCAGCGTATGTGACAGCATGACTGGATTTTAGTGCTGTTAGTTACTGTTTCAGCTTGGCCGCATGTCTCTGGTTTAGAGGTGCTGAAATCAGTAAATAACGTGTACAAAGCATTTACTGGATTTATATGAAAAGGTGGAATGCCAGAGGAGCTATGTTCTGTCCTGTGTTGTGTTTGACATTCACAGAAAACGGTTACATTGTAGGGGCCTTAATGTCTTACTTCAGTCACTTTGGTGTTTTGTTTTGTCACTCTTTTCAGGCCTACCACCTTGGATGCCTTTGTGTTTGGTTTCCTTGCACCGATTTATAAAGTGTGCTTCCCCAGGGTACAATTACAAGAGCATTTGAAACAGCTTCCCAATCTGTGTAGATTCTGTGATGATATTTTAACTTGCTACTTCAGGTTAACTGTCTCAGGTAAGCTGTATTTCTTTTCCCCTTTTTGTCATGTGTAGCCTTGTTTGAATTAGAACTCCAGGATTCCATCTGTGAGCCGAGGCAGAATTAGATTTTATGTAGTTTATGGTAGAGATTTTGTGGGGAAATTAAGTAGAGAAATTTCTACAGTTATGCAAAAAGGATTGAAAATTAAAAGCAAGCGTTAATACTCAATTTTAGACTCTGTCAGTCATTGACAAAACACACCTGTATCTGTGATATGGCTCATGCTTAGCACTGCTGTTTTTCTCACATGGAATGGCTTTTCCACTTAAATTTTTCTTAGGATAAAAATACTGCATGAACTTTCTCTCCAGTGTGGGTTTATTTTTTAGGTGTTTAAAAGCTTTTGTAAATACCCTTTCACTCTTCATCTTTCTGCCTTCACTCTCCAGGCCATTCTCCGGCTGGACAGGATACAGCAGATGCTAATCTGCAGAAACTCACACAGCTTGTAAATAAGGAATCCAACTTGATTGAAAAGGTTACTTTTGCTTCAGTCTGTAATTTTCCTGCTTTGTTGTGGTTACTTGTTCACAGATATTCTTGCATGGCAACTGCAACCGTACAAGGGACATTTCATTTTAATTGCTTCTCTTCCAGTGGTTTACTTTGTGTAGAGAGGAGGGAGGAATATTGTGTCATTTGAAAGGAATAACTGATGGAGCCTTGTACTTTAAAAGTATTTTTATTACCATCAAAAGAACATTGTCATGCAAGTGTGCATATGATCAAAAGAAGGGTGTCTTTCTGCAAGTGTGCGTTCCAGCAGAGGAAGATGCAAATATATTGATCAAAACTCAGAAATGGAAGTGGAAGAGAGTAGATTTAGACTAGATATTAAGAAGAAATTTTTCACTATGAGGGTGATGAAGCAGGGGAACAGGTTGCCCAGGGAAGTTGTGGATGCCCCATCCCTAGAAGTGTTCAAGGCCAGTCTGGATGGGGCTTTGAGCAACGTGGTCTAGTGGGAGGTGTCCTTGCCCATGGCAAGGGGGTTGGAACTCGATGATCTTTAGGGTCCCTTTCCAACCTACACCATTCTGTGATTCTGTGATTCAGAAATGGTCCTGCAAGTTATGGCCCATCACCAGCTCTCCTTGCTCCCAGCTGAACACTGTAGTCACTAACCTACAATCACTCCTTCTCCTACATCTAGCTTTGATTTCTTTATATTTGTTTCTAAGGCAACCTGTTAAAAGCTATAAAACTTACGTGAAAAATACTTGTGAAGAGTCAGTCTTCTGATGCAGACAGAATGCTTTAACTATAAGGATAGAAGGCATTTCTTCCTGAAAAAGATCCGTGTATCATATAGTTCATTAACTATGATCAACTTCTGTAGCATTAGGTATTGACTCTATCTCCTTTCTGTGGTATTGAAGCCTGACTGGAAGTTTTAAAGAATGGGTTACATAGACATTTGTCAGGCATGGTTTAGGTAAAGCTGATCCCACTTGGAGGGAATGGGATGGACTAGACAAACTCTGGAGATCTCCCCTGTGCTGTCTTCGGTGATTCTGTTTATTCTGTAGTAACTAGACTCTTTTGATACCACAGTAGGCACAGGGCATTAGGTTGATTTCCTATGAAAATGTAAAATCTTTATGTTTAGAGATTGATTTTAACCTGTCTTTGAAAAGGTCTCAAGTTCTTTATTAGATACTTTTTGAAATCTGAAAACTATTCTAAATTCATGCAGTGCTTCCAGAACATTTCTGATTTGAAAAAGATTTGTTCTTGTAAGGTGCTGAACATGCAAAAGCATCCATTGATGTTGGCGGTTTGACTTTTGATCTGCTTTCTAGCAGCACTTGGCTGCTGCACAAAATTGAAACTTTGACCTCTTAGAAGAAGGTAGCAATATTGCTTTCTTCAGTAGTCTTGATGAAATGATTTCAGCAGAAGCACACCTATTTGCCCTGGGTTTGATGCACCCTATGCTAATGGAATGAATGGCAGCTCTAACCCAGACATTTATTTGGGAGTGCAAAGGAACCAGGGCATCAGTTTTGGCTGTGCCTGAGGTGACAGGGTGAAAAATACCCCAAACCAGCATTAAGGATGGCAGTCCTGACAAATAGACTAATCGTATAATCTATATTCTACTGTTTGCCAGATCCGGCTCTCATTATTTCTCTGCAGATGGACGACAACCTTCGTAAGAGTCCTCAGCATCCCCCTCGAAAGCTAACAACCCTCAAGCTGGCTGCAGGTGGAGAAGAAAGCAGTCCATTGAATCGTTTGTCACCTTGACAGCTTTTGTTGCCCATACACATCTGTTTGCCTTCAACTCTTCTGAGCGCCACAGTACATTTTTTCACATGAATGTTGTTTTGCAAGGGAAGAATCTGCTAATGGATACAAGTAGGGAAGAAATATAGCTTTACAATCTACTATCTACCTATTCTTTTAAGAAATTGCATAGTACAGGCTGACCACACACTAAGCTGAGGCTAAAGTAAACAAGAGGCTTATTCTTGCAGATGTTAAAGTGATTTTGTACAGCATATTTTTGCTTTTAGTCTAGCAGAAATGTTGACCAAAAGTTAAAATTCCGCTTATGGAATGTTCACTGTTACTTTATTTTGTGGCTTTTGGTTTTACTGTAATCATGTTACTATATGTGAGTGGGTATACTTTTTGTATCTGTCTGAAAATTACAAAGTCCAGCTGTAAAATCGGTGAAAAGACTGGGGGGAAAAAAAGAATGTTGGCTTTCATGGCAGCTGAGAAATGAAAAGCGGTGAGAGGAAGTTAAATAATTTTTTATTGTACTTTCATGAACACTCTTGGGTCTTGTGTTTTAAGATTGTTTGTATTGTTGAAAACTTGTCATGCTGTACTTTGATGGGGATCATTGAAAAGCATGTGCACTGTGGGAAGTACAATGATGTACAGAAGTAACATTTCACAGGTACCTGGTATTAGACCTGCGTGAAACAAGCTTAATCTGTGCACAGCTTAATATTACATGCTGCAAAACTCTTAAGTTAAAATCACAGAGGACTGGTAGTGAGACGGAGAGATTTGATTAGCTCCTGTCAGACAAGAGACTTGACTAGCAAACATACTGTGACTCTGGATTGAAAGGAGCTGGTTAGGGCTTTATAAGAAAGCTGATGGAGGCTTTTAAATTTGTCACAGATGCCTTTGAATTAATTTTGTCTCTTTTTTTTTTTTTTTTTCTTTTTTTTTTTTTTTCTTTTTTTTTTTTTTTCTTTTTTTTTTTTTTTCTTTTTTTTTTTTTTTCTTTTTTTTTTTTTTTTTACAAGCATTACAGTTAATTCAAAAACTAAAATAAAAACCATCCAAATTTTTATTGTTTGACAGTCTGGTTCAGAATTCCTTTATCTCTGCGAACTGTAATAACGTTGCAGCGCGTATTTCTTCTGTTTGATTAAGGGACTTAGGTCTCATGACGTTTTCTCTTAGCAGCAGCTTTGCCAGTGCTAGAGACCCCAAGCAATTCTGTGAGAAGAGAGATGCTGTAATTCTCTACTGGCACTGCACCGGCAGGTGTTTCGTGAGTGGGTGCAAAGTTAGTCAAAGAGATTGGCCAAAGTGGCAGCGCTTGGGATATGGAATTCTGATACCTTTATGTATGGGGATAACTTTTCTGAGGTTTTTTTTTTTTTTCTCTTTTTCTGGCCAAATTGGAATAATCTTTCAGCTTCCCTTCAACTACCAGTCATGTTTGAGATATATAAATAAATTATTTCCTATTTATAAAGACAAGACTGTAGATTGTGTACATACTGTACTTTCAGACTTGATACATAAGGAATGTAATATCTTTAACATTTCTGAATTGTAATTGAAATGTTGGGTTTCTAATGAGCACTTTAAAATAATGTTTAAGCTTCATGCTCTTACTAGAGTATTTGTTTCAGTGATTTGAAATTAATCTAGCTCATACTCATGGTAATTGTATAAACTGACAGTCCACAACATTTAAAATTTTTACTGCCTGTATCTTGACAAGGTTTAAATGAGATCAAGTCACATGGCTTTTTAAAGTCTTTAATTTATAAACATGGCTATGGAGAATATGCCTTAGCTCGTTGCTTTTGTGAATATGTACACTCAATCTTTACAATATCTTTGTAAAAAGGTCATTGTTCCAAGATTAAAATTTTGGATTTTTAGTGGAGTTTTGGTAATGTTTTTTATGAAAATTATGTCAGGCTTTTTGACCTTTTTTTCTTTTTCCTTGTGAAAAGATTTATCTTGTTGATTAAAAAAAAAAGAAAATAAAATGAAAAACCGCTGACTGCAAGACCAAGAAATTGTAATAATTTAGCATATCCATGAGGTCAGCTTTTAAATTTTAATCACACCATTTCAGCGCCAATCCTTTCTTTCAACACAACTGCATTTGGGAAGGGGGGAATGGGGAAGCACAGCTTTTCTAATCTTACTAAATGTGAGCTTTGGGCTGTGTGACAGCAGAACTTTGGCAAGGCGATGCCCGTGTCAACTTCATTCAGTGGATGGCAGAGGACAGCAGGGCTAGAGATCATGGCAAACACCTTCCCAGACAACCAGTGGGGTTGCACACCCGTGCACCTTCTTTTTTTCACTTTTCACCTGGGTGAATTCAAAACCAAACTCTTAAGTGGAAAGTGTCATCTGGCCCGACAACTCTGACTTGGACGTTATTTACTCATTTTTTTGAAGCTGAGCAATTAACCATGTCCATGGTGGGATGGGTTTGAGTAACCGTAGCTATCTGCCTCTGAGGTCATCAAAGTTCCTTCTCTGGCTAGTGGAGGAGGATGGGATCTAGGTGTGATTAATCTCATAAGATACCTAAAATTGCAAAGTGAATCAAGTCCTGAAGATGTGCCTGCCTGCTGAATGTGAAGGAATCCTCATCTCCTTACCTCTGCTGCAGAGTGAGCACTGCCACAGTGGTTGACTTCTCCTCCAGCGCCAGAGGATGCGGGTGGTCCACAAAGGCAAGGGGCCAGCCCTTCTGGCCAAGAAGCAGTTGTGGGGCCATGAGGTGGTTGTCTGCAACCTGGTTCCTGCACAGAGCAGCTTCATGGAATCATGGAATTGTCAGAGCTGGAAGGGACCTCTAGAGATCATCTGGTCCAACTCCCCTGCCAAAGCAGGATTGCCCAGAGCACATCACTCAGGACTGCATCCAGGAGGGACTTGAAGATCTCCAGAGAAGGGGACTCCACGACCTCCCTGGGCAGCCTGTGCCAGGGCTCTGTCACCCTCACCATAAAGAAGTTTTTCCTCGTATTTGAATGGAACTTCCTGTGGTCCAGCTTGTGTCCGTTGCCCCTCGTCCTGTCGCTGGGAACCACTGAAATGAGTCCGGCTCCATCATCCTCCAACCCTCCCTTTAGGAACTAGTAAACATAGATGAGGTCTTCCCTCAGCCTTCTCTTCTCCAGGCTGAAGAGCCCCAGCTGTACATGCTTCGGCTCTGCAGTCTCGAAGCCTGGGCAGCTGGTGGGCCTCCTCCTCCTCCCTGCCTTCCCCTTGGAAGGTGGTGGCTGGGAACAGAGCAACTCATCCAGCCTGCCACCATGTCCCTTCCCAGGAGGAAGCTGCCAATTGTAAGCAGGGTGAACCACTCCACCAGGTTGCAAATTTAGCAGCCCTGCTCCCAGGCAATCTCACGGTGAAAGCATATCTGCAGGTACTTTTAGGGCTATTCTGTGCCTTTCAAGTGGTTGTAGGAATGTGTATATTCCAGAAGAAATGAGATGAAAAATGTTATGAATGTATTGCTACAAATATGGTCTACTTAACATTTCCAAGATCACTTTAAAAATGTTTTTTCCCCTCTCTGAAGATGTTGTTACATTAGGCTTTTATATACACTTACACATTGGCAAAGTCACATCACTTTTGCTAATGTAGCTTAGCACTCCATTAAGGAAAAGCACCCAGTTGTATTTGACTCCTGGTTAAAATGTTTTCCAGACCCACTCGAGTATGTTTCCTTTCTTACTTGGTATCGTTCTTGGCATTGCAGCAGGAACCACTCATAGTACTTTTTCCTTTTTTTTTTTTTTTTTTAGTACGGAAAGGCAGACCAGCTTTTTACATTAGCCTGACAAACTGCGCTGTAGCTCAAATCCAGCTGCTCTGTGCTGTTGGCAACAAGTTGTCCAATCCCTAACATACTTAAAGAGTGTGCTGACAGGACACTGCATAAAAAAGATGAAATGTCCAGTTTCACACATCGTTTTTGTCTGCAGTAGTTAATGGTTAGCCTCATTCGGCAAAACGCTCCGCACTCCTGCTGGGTCCTAACCACTGCCAGGGAGGTGGTGGGTTCTGGTGCCCTCGCTAGAGCACAGGTGCAGCACCAGGCCCTGCAGTGCAGCAGGTCTATTCAGGAGCCGTGCAGAAGGTTGAGCTGGTCAAACACCAAAGCCCACAGCCAGAGCTTTCCACTCAGCATCCAGCCACCGTCTCTTTCAGCCCAAACTCTGCCAGAGGAGAAGCCACTCTCTTCCACCTGGCTGGTCAAGGCATTTTAGCCTATGTGACAGCCATGCAGGAATGATGATGAGATGGAGCTTAATGCTCTTGTAGTTCCTTGTCTCCTTGGTCTGGGCAGCAGGACAGAAGCCAAGCTCTGCTGTGCTGGTCTCCTCCTTGCACTGAGAGACATGCCCAGCAGCAAGGAGGGCCAGGAGCAGCCCATTCTGGAGCAAAGCTCTGTATCAGAGGCAGCTCCCAGGAAGGCAGGTGAGTTTTTGCACCACCTCAGGGATGAGTTAAAATGAAGGAAAGAAAAAGGAGGTCCAGCGTTCCCTGTACCCCACTGGTTTGCTGTTTCCACCTGGAGCAAAGCTCCCAGGAACAGATCCCATGTCCCAAGTGAAATCAGATCATGTTGGAATGAGAAGCTGGGAAGGAGAAGGGAAGAAGAGGTTAGCAAGGGAAAGGCACCAGGAGCATCTGCTTTCACCCTCACTGATCCATTGTCTGAGGGATTTATCAGTGCCACAGTACTTGGGACTGTGAAGGACTCTGCTTCACCAGACACAACACACTGCTCTTGTGGGCAAAAGGTGGGGGAAATGCAATGACTTGCTGCAGGTTTTGAAAAATAAAGAAATTCCTTGTAATGTGCTTGGCCAGTTTGCCTCAGTGCAAGACTGATCGAGCAAGATTTTCTGGGTGCAATTAAAAGCTAAGGTGAGACCAGGAATCAATGATGGGACAGCTTTGGTTCCACAGCAAGTAAGATCTTGCAGTAAATCAGAGCATGGCGCAAGGCTGTTCCTCAGCCCTGTTCATCTCCCTTTTGCTCATTCCCTCATTAAAACCACATGGGGCTTTTTTTCAACATGAATGTTCCAAATTTTTACAGTGTTGAAGTGTTGCATGTGGGGTCTGTTGGTGATTTACTGTTATCAAAATACAGAATGTTCCTGGCCCTTCAGTTAAGCCAAGAGTGCAGAGAAGGTTGGACGCCTTGGGTACCAGGCGGGCTCATGAAGGTAGAAGCAGTCCCTGTGTAGGCACCCGGTGCTGAGCTCGGATTTGCCAAGCCGTTTTGACAAGGGTGGCGAGGCAAGTTTTGCTCTTAGTTGTGACCACAGTGATCACATCTCCACCTTTCCAGAGACCACGTCTCTGGAAATTACTCCAGTAGCAAGTTCCACTGTTCAGCAGCAGCCCTGGGGAAGAGAAAGGGCTGCAGCACCTCCACGGCCAGCAACACATGCTCTGCTGAAACTGTTGCTGTTGGAAAAAGCAAATTTTTGAAACCAACAGATTCTCCAGAAAAGGTACTGTTTTGGATCGGAAAGATTGCTCACACCCAGATAGGAATTTGGAGAGGGGGGAAGGGAACTGATGGATACAGAACAAACACATATTTCCCTGGAATAGCTGATACTCTTCGATTACGTGGGAGAGGGATTTCAGCTCTCTGCTCTGAATTAAGGAACGTGAGAACTTATTTTGGCTGCTCCACAGCTCTAGGCAAGTGTCCGAACCAGTGGATTAGTAGCTTTTCTGCAGTGGGCAGAGAGACATTATTTTTGTCAAAAATCCTTGAAAGGTCCTGTTTCCTCAGTGCAGGATATGAAAAACTCAGAAATCCCCCTGACGTCCATGGAGTAACAGAGCAGTTTCCCATCTGTTCTATCTGCTTCCTTAGCAGATCACGAGGATTATTCTGTTTATCTGGTCTCCTTAT